AGCTTAAAGTCACATCAGCCATTCTGACAGTTCTCTCCGTAGTTCGCTAGAGTCCAAAAGCCATCCTTTCCAAGCTGATGGATGCCCGTGACTGTTTCTCATCTGTGCTTGAATTTCTTTACTTTATTCATCCCAAAATGAAATTAAATGTTGTTGTAATTCATATCATTCCAAAATTCTTCAAAGAGTCCTTGTGAATTGTGATGCTGTGAGCAGGAAGGAAATCCGGTAGCGGTCGGTCTTGCAAAAATCCGAAGAAGCCTCTTACCAAAGACGCTGTTGGTGGAAGACAGTCCCATGAGTGTCATGACATGCCAACAGCTCAAGATCAAGGCAACAGAGATGATACTCCACAGTAACACATTCTGGAAGACATTGATTGTTGGCAAGCTCTGCTAATCTATCTCATTTTCTTTTGCCGCTCCTCTTTAAATCTCTGTCTGGCTGTTTGGTTTGAAACTCGGGGAGAGAAACGCTGAAGTAAGGGATACAACTCTTGTCCATTAGGATTGGTTGAAGAGATGTTTCTGCTCTGCAGCACAATTCTAGAATTCAAGTGATTCTTGATTCTGCAAGTCCACCTTTAATCAGGCTCAGGCTTTCAGGTCTGGAGCCTGGTTTACATTGGATCAGGTTAGTCTGAATAGCTTTTTTCTTCCTAATTAATAAAACTATCATTTGAGAACTGCATTTAGAATAGAGTTTGTTTGATCTGCAAGGCATTTTAAGTGTCAAAACAGCAAAACAGAACAAACATCTTCTCAGCTCTGGATATTGACAAAGATTGACATCTTTTGATATCAAAAGATTTTGTGATTACATAAATATTGAGTTTGCCTTTTGAGATATAAAAAAAGACATGTCTCATTTCTCTGGTATCTGGTTTTACCCCTGCCTACATTTCCCTTCAAATTGAGGTAATTATTTTGTGATCCATTGCCTTCAAAATCTTGTTTGCTTCCTGTTTTGTTTTCTAATTCTCCCTCCTTTTTTTAGTCTTGTGCATTATTTCAAACGCTTTTAAGATGACATCCTACCCAACCTGGGCTCAGTCCATTTGTTGTTCATTTTCCGTTTCTGTGCCATCAGGCGGGATAGACCTGTCGTCATACCCTGCATCTTTCCTGTTGCACAAAGGACTAAATGTCATCCTGCCCATCAGTGAGTTTAATTTTTCTCAGAGAGGCCTTCTCCTTGATGCACTTTTCAGGTTGATAGTTTCAATTCGAGGTGCACAGATTGCAGTTTTCTGATCAATCCAATATATGCGCTTCCTGATGCCTGCTCAGTTTAACTTCTTGGAATTTCCTTTTCCTTTATCCTATTCTCCCCCCCTCTTCTATTTTGTGCTGCGACTCTTTAGTGCTGTTTGACCTATTCAGTGGAGTCCAAATGTCACCGTCAAGGGAAAGGTCACGTAAAGGTTTAGCACCGAGCTAAGTCTGAATGGCTAATACAGTCCTGGCTGCCTGAGGGCGTGGTAGTCGAGGGGGTTGGGGCAAGTTGACACTTGAGACCTTGAACACACACCTCTCCATGCTTACACACACTCGAACACACCGCTGTCGCCTCCGCTCCAGTTCAGTGCCACTCAGCTGCGAGCCAGCAGATATGTGACGTTGGCGCACGCGACTCTGCCTGCATTCGCTCGGATGATTGGGAACGTTTCAGCTTCCCCTGGAATGACACATGCCCTCAACACGCCTCCCGTTGGACGCCAGGTCAGAGGTCATCATTCGTCAGAGGTTTATAGGATCCTGCCTGCAAATGGCAAGGTCCAATTTGACATCGGTGCTAAAGCGTCCACTTCAAAATGTGTCTGCATGGAGTTTTCTGTCCTGCCTAAAAATACTTGTCACGATAAATGTGAAGATAAGTGCAATCATTTCCCCGTTTCGGTATCCTGGCCCGGTCCCATTTTTGTGTTTCTGTATGAAAAATCACAGGTCAGATGTGGGATTTCTGTATCGATTAATCAGCCTCCTCATGCAGGGGGCAGCAGCTGGATTCTAATTGGAATGGATTTCTCCACTGCATTGATTTGCAGTGGAGGAGTGCAGGTGACAGTAGATGACATACAGCAGTGTGTGTTTGCATGTGTACCTGGTTTTTGTAGCCTCTTTAGGACGTTTTCTAGTATAATCTCCTAAAATGTCGGGGGTTTCTGGGGACCAAAAAGGGTGAAATGCAATTTTTGGGTTAGGGTTAGACATGCACTCATGAATGGACGTCTGGATTAAGAGAGAAATGCAAACTTGCGTGTGGCCATGAGGGTTTTTTGTTCTTAATCCAAATACCATATGGTGCGCTAATGTCCTTCCTGCAACACCTTTCACTGCTTGTTGTCAGGTGAAAAGGTAAAACGGAGCAGCTGGATGTTACTGAATCGCCTGGCATTGATGTGTGTGTGTGTGTGTGTGTGTGTGTGTGTGTGTGTGTGTGTGTGTGTGCGTTTGTTTGTAATACCTTGTGGGGACAATTTTCCTGACATATACTACGTTGTGGGGACCAATTGCTCCTGGAGCCTGGTCCCCACAAGGGGAAACCCTGTTTATGGGTCAGGGGTCAGATTTAGGGCTAAGGTATGAATTGAGTTTTGGTTAGGGTTAGGGTTAGGTATGTGATGGTTAGGGTTAGGAAAAGGGTAAAGGTAAGGTTTAGGCTGTAGAAATGAATGGAAGTCAATGGAAAGTCCCCACAAAGATAGCAACACAAACGTGTGTGTGTGTGCCTGTCTTTTAACGCATTCAGGGGGCCCGGGGATGAAACCAGGACCTCTGCAAAACACTGATTTCATTTTCCCCATGACCGCTTTTAGATCCGCACCCTGCACTGCTACACGAAACACACACACCCAACCTTCCTTATACTTCTATCCATCTGAGGACTTTGTAATAATTTTCATTCATTTTAGGAACTACATTTATGCCTAGTCTACGCATTTTTACCCAAATTTAGTGGTGTAAAACTAACCCACACCTTACCCAAAACTTCAATTCACGCCACATCTCTAAACCTAACTTGTAGAATGAATTAGAAGTGAGAAAAAAGTGAGGGAAATGTCCTCACTGCCACAAATGACCTGGAAATGGTTGGTGGAAATGGTGAAAGTAGTCCTCTAAATATAGTGTATACGCACGCACACACACACCAACCCACCCACGCACATACATGCACATACACGCACATACACACACACAGGTATGTTTTTCTGTTTTTACTAGGACTGTTCATTGACTTCCATTTATTTCTGCAGCCTGGCTTTTACCCTACACCTAACCATTACCTCTACATGTAAAACCCTAAATCTAACCTAAACTCAATTCACACCTTAGTCCTACACCTAACTCCTAAAATAGGTGATCCTCATCCTCATTTTACTCATCTGGGCTGTCTTTCCTAATCCGACATTCTGCTTCTACGTGTTTAGGTGTTTGTTTGAGGGAAGAGTAGGAGGGTGGTAAAAGATGGCCGCTGGACATGGCTTCTCACAGCTGGCTGGTCCCAACCCCTCTCCCCTCCACTTCCCCCATGATCTTCCCTCTTATCTAGCCCAGATCCTGGCCTTTCATCTGGGATAGAACCTGGGGGGCGCTTGGCTTCTGCTGGGGTTTTCAGCTCTTTCTCCTGCATACACACCAATACACTCCATTCCAGACCCCCTCCATCCCCCGGCTCTATCTGGGAGTCCCAGATGAGCTTTGCTCTCACCTACATGGAAGATAACAAGCCCTACACGACTGTTCTTTCTCTCTGCTTAGTTTTCCTCAAAACACTTCTGATCAGACTTTTCAAATCTGCAGCACAAAAAGGCAGAGAAGCTATGGCTTTTGTTTTCTACTGTTTAACACAGGAATTACTTTTAAGCTTAAACTCTTTTTTTGTTATGTATTTGGGTCCTGGCTGCTTTCAGGATAAACAGAGGGAGAAGTAAATAGTTTGACCCTGCAGATTATTGAGTATTAGTGAGACGAAGTGGAAAGTGAATTCATCATAGACCCAAAACGAGTCCTCCACATGCTGTAAAATCTCAGAAAGGCTCGTTCAGCCGCACTAAATTGCATTACCGGCTAACAATTGGACCGTTGTTTTAGCTGATCAGCCCATTAGGCTAGGCTTGTCAAACTCTTCATGTGACCCAGGTCCAGGTTGAAATTGGTGTTTTTGTCTGTTCATGACATGCCATTCTATTCTCCTCCAGGTGGATCCCTGGTTTGCCCTCCTGCTCAACCCTGAGCCGTTTCCAGCCGAAACAACAGATCCTCACCTCTCACCCTGCTGCCTTTACCTGATAATATGTCTCTGTGGATCAGCCCTCACGGTTTCTCCCCTCTCTTCCTTCAGTAACCCTCTCTCTGGCTCCGACCTCTGACCTTGGGCATAACATACCATTTGGCGTTTCGAATCGACCAGCAGATTGAGTAGCATCTGTGACCTCTCTGTGCCATTCTCTCCTAGCCATGCCGTGTTATTATTTTTATTAGGTGAGGCTTCTCAAATCTACGGAACATTTTAAGCTTCTGTACGGGTCAAGGCTTGTACAATGAAATGGCTAATTTGATCAAAAAGGTTGCTATGAAACAATTAAATTAAGCTCAAGGAAAATTTCCTAGTTCTTGTCTTTTTGGCACACGGTACATTCCTTAATTGGTGGTAAATCGAATTGACTGGATATGATTTGGTGAGCACACAGATGTGTCTCTGTTGATCTTCAAGGTCAAACTGTGTTGAGGAATGTGTGCTGGCCAGGGTTACGGAACGACTCCAAACATCTCAAAGTGTTGTAAACAGACAGCGGTCAGTTGATTTACCTTTGAGGTCTGGAAGCGAAGAGAAGAACCAGCCACCCGGCCTGGGTAGGAGGGCAAATGTATAAGGAAACACTCCTCTCTGCTACCCACATCTTTCTTATTGTGTCATTATGAACTTGGTCGTATTTTCACTACCTTTACATCAGCAATGAGAGCAAACTCTTGTCTGTCAATCCTCTTGCCTCATGTCTCTCCTTTGGTTAACCACAAGATGGAGAAACTTATTAAAATTCTCATTAGGCTAATGGAAGCACATAATAAGAAGAGCAACCCACATTATCAGTCAAAGTCTAAACAGAGTGGACATAATGGTTGCCTGGTGCCCAGACTGCCTGTTTTTAAAATGTAATACTGCTTGATGATTGATCCGTTCAGGGAAGTGAACAACTTGATGGAGCCTGAAGCAGTGCGGTCACCGACTGCACCAGCACACTTTCTGAGATTCTGCTGGAAGAAAGTAAAGGTTATTCCAGAAAACACCTCTTCATGCCAGGCCTGAGACATCTTCAGATCATCAAGGTGGGATCTGTGAAACAACTGAAGCAGTTGTTTCACAGATCATTGAAACAATGATCTGTGAAACAACAGATCATTGATGAACAGAACTTGATGTTCTGTTCATCAAGTACATCAAAATTGGTTTCTGGAAGTTGAGTAATTGTGAATGTCTTCTGCATTAACAATCACATCCACAAAATTCAAAATTTTTCCATCCACAGGATGGCAAAAAGTTCACAAGGAGAATTGTGACAAGAAGGGGTGGATGACATGAGGCTAAGATCAAAATGATGCAATTTTCGTCTTACAACTGAGACACTGAGAATTTATTTTGGCAGTTCAACCCGACCATGCAGAGCCCTTGCAAGCAGTAGATCTGATCTGCCTCCACATACTTTAACAAAGGTGCCTCTTGACAAAAACAACTGTACTATGGAAGTGTGATCAACTTTAGAACTGCTAAACAAAGTAGAGGCAGTTTCATTATTCTCAAGTCTGCTTATTGACTCAATGGTGGTATACAACTAGTTAGCAGCTGGTTGACCATCTCTGAGATCAATTGTCATAGTTCAAAAAAAAAAAAAAAAGGTTTTGTCTTTTGAAGAGTGGCAAAAAGTTCACAAGGGGAATTATGAACCTTTTGAAAATGTGACTGAAAGGGACAGTTTTATTGGCTGAGCAAAATAAATAAGAGATTGCCTATCTCCAGTAGTCATTGGGAAGGAGATGAGATACCTAAGGGTAAAGTGGATAATTTAGAGAGACCAGTTAACCTAGCAGTCATGTTTTTGGACTGTACCTAACCCAACCTTACTAATCAGTTACATGTTTCTGTCACTGAATCAGGACCAGACTCCAGCAGCATCACTGACAAATCTCTCTTACTTTAGGGTTTGTTAAAGTTAGAAACTTTGATACACAAATGGTAAATTGTGCTACATCTATCAAGATTAAGATTTAGATCATTTCATGTAGGAAAGTTCCAAGTCTTGCCCCCTAAACTGTACCATCTCTCCTTCAGTGGATTGAGACAGATTTATTGAAGTTGAATTTTGTTCCCAGAGCCAAAAGTGACAAAAGTACTATGATCCTTCTGACTACTTCTCCAGCTGTTCATACACACCTTATTTTTCCATTCCTTAATGTCCAACAGTTTAAATTAACATTGGAGTGTTATTCAACATGCATGGCCTTTGCCCATCATCCCTCTTTCTATACTTACATAAAACGCCCAGAGAAACACACATCCTGTGGTTTTTATTCCATTCCGTGTTCAGCCAAAGTCACAGTCAAACTAGAATTAACTGTCCGCACAGACGAGGAATATCTCCAGTTTTATGGAGTCGTAATGCGGTAGGGTACTGTATAAATAATCTGCCAGCACAGAAATACTTCCAGCTGTTAAACAATATGCCTGAGCGGTTTTTCTTTTCTTCTCGTTCTTTTGAGTGAAAAGAATCCCTTTTATTTATTGAGGAATGATTGCTTGAATGTTTGCCTTTAGTAACACCTCCAGATTGTTGCTCCTTTTGCTGATTATTGTTTCAGAGTGCAGTTTGAACTTTGGCAGGACCACATGTTGCGATTGAACATTGGCTCAAAATGTGAAATTCAAACCTTTGCCCTTTTTTTTTTGACAATTAGGCCTTTTGAAGTTTACCTCTGTAATCTTCTCCTTCTTTTGATATGACGATGCTGTGTTGATACAATCGTCGGGAATTTCTGTCTTGTTTTTATAGCCATACCTGTGGCTTTTGATTGATGGATGGAAACTCTACGGTCGATTGAGATAATAAAGACTTGTGTAAAACCTCACTTTGAGGTCACTGTTTCCCTGTGGTGTTCAGCCGTATTCTGTGTCACCGCTGTCAGAATGCCAGAACGGTGTGGAACGGCCTCACCCCCACTGCGAAAGCATGAAATGTTATTTGTGAACAAGGTAGGATAAAGTAAATTCTAGAGATTGTGTGAAACATCCTCGTTGCCTTCGGCCAGGTTGTAGAACTGGTCAGTGGAGGGGGCGACGAAGAGGGAAACCCCTCTTCATCTCCTAAAGATTCTGCCGCTGGGCAGCTTTCACGCACTGGCTGATTGTTCCAGGAAGTGGGGGGGACAAGAAGCCCTCTGCAGATCCTCAGCATGTACCGTGGCAGCATGCTGACTACATATCAAAGGGGCAGTCTGTCCTTAGCCTGGGGCAGAGAGGCTGTGCTGTGTGGGACCAGAGAGCCATGGATAATAGGACAGCTTGTCACACTTGTGAAAATCCCTGGATTTTTTTTTTTTTTTTTTTTTTTTTGACGATGTAGTTTATTGCTTTGTCTTGCTTGGCTTGCAGAGTAATCAGACCATATATTAATGGAAAAGTCACAAATATATTAAATACATTGTTATATGACCACAATGTTCTGCATCAATGTCCGTTATTTCCGATCTTTATCTTTGAGCGAAAAGATTTTAGTTTGAATGATGCAGCATTGTTGGATAAAGATGCACTAATCCGAGTGGCCAGTTTCAATCTCCCCATACCAGTATTTACCTAATTCTGATTTCACTTTTAAAAAGTGAAATCACTTTTAAAAGTGATTTCACTTTTAAATCACTGAATGAACCCCAGGCATGGCTCAATATGTCAGAGGATGTAGCTTCTTCTATTGCTTAAACATCCCACTAACGTTAGGCTCTTCCTTCAGTAACAGCTTCCATTCTGAAGAGTGTGGTCATTTCTACTGCTTTTAGCACTTGCGTATTCACAAACTGGAAAATCATGGAATTTTTGAGTTTCCCACACTAACTGACCAAAAACATTGGCTGAAAACCTGTTGTCTTGCTAGCTGCTATTTTGATGCTTTTCTAATATTTATGTTAATGTTCATGTGAAAAGATGGTGTTGATTCTTTTAAGTGCGAGTCCAGAATTTGGCAGCATAGCTAATGTAAACAATGTTTCTTTTTTCCATGTGTTTCAGTTGGTTGCAAGTGATCCATCCCATCAGATGAAGAGCCTTCAGTTCCGGAGCATTGCTCCCAAGGCCGCAGCTGTGGTGCCGTCACCCTCCCCTTTGACCCCAACCTGCCAGCCTCTGTCAGCTCTACCTGAGGCGACTACTGCTTCTAGCCCCAAGTCCATCCTCGTACCCACACAAAACTATGCACTGATGCAAATAGCAGGCCAAGATGGAACGTTCTCCCTGGTTGCACTCCCACCTTCTGTCTCCTCTCAGACACCACAGCAACAAACCCAATCAATCCAGAAAAACCTCAAGTTACCCATACCCAGATACCCATCGGCGAGAAGCAAGAGGAGCTCAGAAAAGGTCAAATCACCGATTGCTGTAAGTACAAAAGCAGCTTTCAACGTTCCTGTACTGCCTCAGACCAAGTCAGTGGGGAGTGGAACATCTGCAGTGTCAAAGCTAAAGCTAGAAGAGACTAAGCACACAAGGGAAACCACAAAAGAATCTTTAGAAAAGGTATTTCTGATTGACCCAGCCTCTTCTGACATCTCTGTCACTGCCATATTACCAGAGAAGGCTCTCCTCTGTCCTGGTTCTAAGTTGGAGCAAACGTCAGATGGCAATGAGCGACCTGCTTCAGCAAGCCTTGTTCAGAACCTCCACTACCCTTCTGCAGCATCCTCAAACTCTACAAGCAACCCCCCTGAGGAAACTAAGACCACAGTGGGGCTATGCCAGACTAAATCGACTGCTGCTCAGCCTCAGGGCAGTATCACTGTCCTGTCACCAGCCATCTTCAGTAAAGCAGTTCAGATTATTCCTTCACCACCCAAGGGTAAGCTACCCATTCTGCCTTATGCTAAGATGAAGAGCTCTCTGATACCAGCTACAAAGCTCAGCAGTTTGTCCCCAGAGAGAAAAGGCTTCTGTGGACAGGCAGGAGTCTTCACTTCTGGAGATACTACGTCCAAGAACATGGAGAATGCTGAAGTCTTGAGGCAAAACCAGGTGCTGAACTCCAAACCCTCACTGGTTCCTGTTACTCTTCAGAAGCCACCTGGAAAGAAGAGAGGAAGAAAGAGAAAAACAATGGAAGACATCTTGGCTTTTGAAGCCAGAAAGAAGAGGTCTTTGTCTTTCTTTCGCAGAAGGGTCCCTGAAAAACCTCCAGCAGTAATTCCAGGCTTCAAACAAAAAGAAGTTGATATTTCCAAGAAGTACCGAACTATCCGACCCAAGCCCATGTTGGTTATGGAGACGGTTCCACAACTGGTGAGTTTGCCTACGGTAACATCAGATGGCCAAGAACAGGAGCTCTTGCTTGGTCATCAACTATCCACGTCTGCCACAACCAAGGCTCTGGACTGTTCCCCCCAAACGGCTCCGGTGACCCTTCACCTGAGAGCCGGTTCCAATCCAAAAGTGTTCATTGGCAGCCGCCCGCTCCACCGCTGCTCAATCTGTAACCGCTGTTTCCAGTTCAAGCACCACCTCCAGAACCACATGAACACTCACACAAATAGTCGGCCCTACATCTGCCCCCTATGCCGCAAAGCATACGCTCACAGAGGCAGTCTGAGCACTCACATGAAGCTTCATCACTCTGAAGTACGGCCGCGCCGATCTCTGTGTTGTGAGTTCTGCGACAAGGTCTTTGGATATGTGGGAGTTTACTTCCGTCACCTGAGGGAGGTCCACAGGGTTGTGCTGACCGTGGAGCCCTCAATCAGTCGTCATGAGGATGACGTGTCTTTGGAGGGGTAAGGTCACTCTTGGATAGCCACTGAACATGTGCAAAGCCTCTTGACCTTTTAGCTTGAAGTAGATTGATTACCTGACTAAGCATTTTCCCGTTTTCTCCCCAGAACTGTCTCTCCGGAGCCGTCGGATGAACAAGATCGGGAAGACCCTGTAGAGCTGCAGATCAAATGCGGCCGGTGTCAAGCTACCACTCCCACCTTTGCAGACATGAAGATGCATTTGCTGTACGTACATGAGGAGGAAGTCCACATTCGTGCCCATGACGGTGTGGCCCAATGTGTCGGCCGCGAGGTCGAGAACGAGCTGGTAAAGCACGCCGCTCACTACTGGCGCCAGCTGAACGAGAAGCGCAACCTGGTGAAGTGCGGCAGCTGCGACGAGGAATTCTTTTCCTTCTCCAAACTTAAGAAGCACATCATGTCCCACCACCGTGTCGGGGACGGGGAGGGCGACGAAACAAGATCGACTTCTCCTGAGAACGGCATTGACTTGGGGGTTCTGGCAGCAGGGGCGGCCTTTAACTGTGTGCTTTGCAGTAAGGTGCTAGACACTAAGGAGTTGATTATGGAGCACTGGAGAAGTCACCATCACTGTGAGCAGCCGGTCCTGCTGTGGGACGCCCTGAGCTCCTACTCTGGACAAGAAGAGGGGGAGGTGGACGGAGACTTAGACACTCCTTCTCCTAGCCCTCATTAAGCGGCTGAGCGGGCGAGGCCCATACCGTAGCTCCTCCTCATACTCACTCAGTCCTATCAGCAGCACAGGGAGGGAGAGTTTCTCTTAGGTCTTTTGAACTCTAGTTTGGTATTTCACAAGGTTAGACAAGGCATAAGAAATGAAAGGGTCTGATGTTACAAATCGTAAGAGATTCTCTCACCAATTCACTTATAGAAACATGATCATTTTTATATTTCTGATTGCACTGTTCTGTTCTATGAGTTTGGAGGTATTTAAGATCCTGTTTAAAATATTTTTTCTATGTTTTATTTAAATGTTATTGTGGCTAATATTTAATCCAACTGACACAACTGTTAACTAAGGGTCTTTTCACCCTTTAACTAATCTAACCATGCAGATCATTGGTTCATGTTGTGCTGGAGTTCTCCTCATTTTGTTTTGTCACCCGACATCTGCTGAGTGGTGAGTAGAGGAAAACTGGCTGCATCTTTTGTTAGCTTTCCTAGCATCCTGACCCATCGTCAAGTCATATTTTTCATAAATGATGTCTCTTGGAAAAGCTTTGAGCACAACCAACACAGTATGTTTAAAAAGTCTGCATGGTTAGATAAAACTTGGAGCAAGTGACGAGGTAAAGATCACATGACTGTAGGACATCGTCTACTTATTTTGTTGGCTGACAGTTTTCTCCATTGGCTTTTGGTCATCAAAGATGCAAAGAAATGAGTGTTTGTACAATCCTCTGATGTAACATTTTTCACGGAGTCGAAAAACGAGATCTGCCATCGAGCTCTGTGTTTTGAATGGTCCCGTTTCTATTAAGATCCATGAAGGAAAGATTTTTTGTAACCAGCACCAAGTGACATCCTCGTGGCCTTTAGAGAAACATCGAAAAGAAAAGCAGAAAGTGTTAATGAGGCTAATCGTTACTATGACTCCCTTTAGGCCTGTTTCAGTCGATTAATGCCTGTGTGTGTGTGTGTGTGTGTGTGTGTGTGTGTGTGTGTGTGTATTCTGTGATATGCCAGGGTCTATTCAAAATAGTGATTGTAGAAGTGAGTACTGTTCGCTGATTTTAGTAAATACGCAATGGATTGCCTAGCTGTTGTTGCCAGCTCTTGTATGCACCTGTGGAGTTTTGTGCACCCAGACTGAGTAGAGTTAATAGAAACTGTCGTTAAATCCAGAAAAATATGCTATTTTGTACTTTAGATTACTACAGAGAATATTTATGCTTGTGGTTGGTGATTACAGAACCAGCACTGAAACATTTTTGATTTGTTTGCCGCATTATATTTTGGGGAAGAGGTGCTTTTTTTGTTTTTGTTTTTTTTTTTCTTCCCCAAGGCTTAGCTTGGATTTAATGAAGTGAGTCTTCGGAAGTTGCTTCCCCCACCTACAACAGGAGGATGTGGAATGGAAATGGAAAAGTGAAGGGGCTGTAGAAAATATTGAGTAAAAACACCACAGATTCATGGTGTCAAAATGTGAAACAATATTTAACATGATCCAATTGCTTTTTTGTAAAACAAAGAAGCACTATTTATTCCTTCTGCTGGTGTAGACTTAAAAAGAATATTAGTAGGGCTAGAAAAATTGTTTTAGGAGTGCTCCAATTGCAGCTTCCTGGCTATTGACCAATCTTAAAATCTTGTTTGTGAAAAGTTGCTAAATCCAGCCATAAAGTGGTTCATTGGCAATAGTGGGCTGAGTATTGTTAGCAATGCACATGCAGGCGTAACCTGGCAGAGCAAAAAAGGGTCAGCGGCTGATTTTCAGACCTTCCCGGAGGTAATTAAGATCAGTGAGTAAGATTGGTTCGTCAATCTCCCAAAATTAAGAAAAATCTGGGACTAATTATCGATGTGTCTCTAGTTATTTGTGACTTTGAATCTATGAATCAAGCCCCAATGTTGAATAAACGCTGTTATTTTATTTTTGGTTTTCAAATTCTTGTTGAGCAGAAGGTCACCCTTTTTGTTGTTCTCTCTAAGTGAAGTTAAGAGTTGATATTAACTGTTTAAATTTGTTGCGGCAGGCTGTTTTAAAGACGCTGCTCGGAGCTGACAAACTGTACTTTTGAACCTGGACCTTCGGTTTCATGAGCAGACGTATTGCCAAATGACTAAATTTATCTTTTTTATAAGCAAGGGATGAGTAATCCACAACACGTGAGAGAGGGAGTTCTGAAACTTTGTAGAAGCATCGGTAAACCTTAATCCCAAAAACTAATTCATAGCTAAGTATTTGAAGGTTATCAGCTAATCTGGCTTGTGTCCCACAGACATAAATATTTTTGCTACTGCATCTGACTGTTATAGATAGGGTATCTATTACTGCCAACTTCATAAAATCTCACTTCAAAAAACCCAAACTATCCCTTTAATGTCCTGTTTCATGGTTGGGTTGGCATTATTGCATAATATGTAGCTCTGTTACCATATGTCTGTGTTTATGTTTCATATAAAAAAAAATAGTTCACAGGGTCAAGTGAATGTACCTGAATGTTTAAAAAAAATTACCAAAAGTAAATATATATTAAAATATATGCTATATATGTATATATACATTATTCTATGGATAGAATACCTTGATATATATTGAAAAGAAAATATCTATATTTACAGAGTCACTAGTGAATCAGCTGCTTTGTTCTGTCCACATGGAAGAGTGCAGGTGCAGATATCATTACGTCAAAAGCCATGCAGAGCGGTCTTTGTGTCTGGGCCAAGGCCAAAGCACCGATGGGTTTCGGCTACAGTAAGCTCCACCGTAGGGGTCATCGGTGAGTTGTCCTTTATTTTTTATTTTTCTCAAGCCCTTAAACATCAGGCAGGAAGTGACAGAGTTCAGGGTCAGTCTCTTCGTTCCTCAGCAGCAGGAGGAACACGCGCCACTGTCGGCACGCGCTTGGAAATGGCAAAACTTACGTTTTATTCACTTTAACACGCTGATGGTCACCCGGGTAAATAAAAAACAAACTTAACAAAGGAAGGAAAAAAGACTGAAAATGTTTTGTGCTTGTGACTGTTTGTGTACCTGAAGAACCTGATGTGAGAATAAAGTTGTTCGTTGATGATGTTGTGTTGTTCTTTAAGGTGACGGGAGCAGACTTTTGCAGGTTGAAATGTTTTTCTGTCAGTTTTTCTCCTTTAGCAATCTATAGCTGAGCACTGCTAAGTTATCAGAGCCCCTTACTGAACTTCATAATTCTGTTTGGTGAAAACAGAAGCAGTCATCTCTGGTGATTGGTTCAGATGAGGTAAGTGACAAGGTACAGTAGCCCAAAATAAAGAGCCTTTAAAACTCTATGGAACAGGCTAGCAGTGATTCCCGGGGTTTACTCAACATTCACCCCGAGCCGAGTCTGACTGCTGCCAACAGCTGGCTGGTTGTTGAGTCACTTCAGCGTTTCACTCAGAGGTGTGAATGGAAACGTAAAACCCCAAAGATCCTTCAAAAACGTTAGGTTAGTGTACAGCATGCTGCATGTAGGGCATTTACAGGCAGATATTTATTAGTGGTAGTGGAATGTTATCCACATTTTCAATAACTTGAGATGTTCTGTAGCAGTAATGTCCAAATTTTTAGTCAAAACTGGCAAATTCTAACTTCTAGCAGGCCACAAAATTCATTAAATCAAAGATGCATAAATAAGTTTTATTGATTTTTATGATTATTTTTAAGTTTTACCTGCTCAACATTTTTAATTAAATCTACAAACCATTAAAGATCCAAACATTAGCCTTATTAAAATAAATACAATTTCCAAAATGTTGTCTTTAGCAGTACAATTTATATATATATGTATATATATATTTTTTTTTTACCTTTTTTGACTTGTATTCACACATTGGATTCCCCTCTTCTACAGTTGAAAATCATTTTTTTTTTCAAAAGTTACACCCACTGACCTGTAGGGGGCAGTGGACCTTTGCTTCTTTTTGTTTGCATTCTTGCTGTCACACCTGGAACCACTTCTCATCAGGGCAATGCATATATGCCATATTGTGCAATTTTTGATTTCGAAAATAAATTTGTTTAATGGAAACTTTTCAATTTAAAAAAAACGTGTTTTGGATAAAACATTTGGCACTAAGAAGAGATGTTTTTTTTTCTTCTTTCACAAAACTGAGATGGGAATGTTTTTTTGCGCATAAAAAGGTGATCAACACCTGGATGTTGCCACTGGTGCTATTCACAAAGAAAAAAATATATAACAATAGGAAGTGTTTGGAGGACGATGGTGCAACATGTTTCTTAACTTTTCACATGAACAAATGTATTCACGTGAGATTTTAATTGCATCTCTTATTTAATGGAAACGCCTCAATTGCATATATTGTGGTGTTCTACATTGGCGGAATATTGACAAAGATTTGCACATATTTGTAATTGAAACGCGGCTCCTGGTCCGGTGCCGGGCATTTCTGTGTTTAACTCTGAACAGAGTACTCAGTGTTGTAGCAAATTCTGTTTAGGTCATGTTGACGTTTGAACTCTTGCATGTTAGAAAGTGTTTAGATGGGCAGCTTGGTAGGGTTTCTGTGCCATTTTCTTCCCCGTCTTTGTGGCCAGCCAGAGTTTAGAAATTGTAGTTTTTGTTTATTTGTTCAGAGTTCAGATTTTGTTTTTGACCCAGAAGGGGTTTATTTTTGTTTGTTGATTTGGCCTTGGAAACCCTGAAATCTTTTTACTTCCCTTGTGTTAGTAAGGCCCTGAGCCAGTGGACTAATGGAAAGTAAATGACTGGCTTTACTTTTAATCTACAATTTGTGTTACACTCCGTGCCACCCTAGGCTCACTCAAAGGATTGAAACAGCAAAAACAGAGAAGGTAACCGAAGCTAATCATCTAATTTAGTAGCTTGTTTAGATTTTTATTTAGTGAAAACCCAATAAAAAGTAGTTTCGAGAAGCTTTCTTCCACTTTGTTCCTCTTGGAAGGAGTGAGTGGAGCTTTGCGGAATTAAAGACATTTTTTATTAACGTTCAGGTCCAGGTTGTCTTCGGTTGACTGCTATGAGCACACCGAGTCCCAGGCAGCATGATGAGCGTGACAAGTCTCAGTGGATCGCCCTTTGTACACTTTTAACTGGGAATCCTAAATGAGTTTCCATCTCTTGGGCGACAGAGCCCGATTCTTCTGTCACCCTTTTTGACACGTTTCATAGTCAATATTCTCTTTCCTTTGCCCCGTTTAGGTTAACTGACAAGAGGCTGATGAGACGCATCTGAAATCTGACAGGAGAGTTGATGTGACAGATTTTATTTAGGTTCTCATGTAGTCTTGGCTGAGACGAATTGTTAAACCGGTGTGTTTTAACAGAAGCAAAAGGCAACAACAAACAGTGAAAAAGTGTTTTAGAGCCTGGTATTAACTGGAGAAGTGTGTGTGGAGTGAAGGAGGATCAAGCAAAGTGGGGGAAGCCAAGGGGCTGTTGGTAACCTACATCTGCCTCACCTCTGTGCTCCTCCCCCAGTTAGTGGCCCTTCCATCTGCCTGATTTAGTGTCACGGTGCATTTAGATTCCATATACAGTGTAGGTGAGAACTTTAAATCTTTTCACACTCTCAGTATTTTTAAAATAATGTTTGTTTTTAAGGAGTATTTGGTTATTTTTTTTCAATGTACAGCCATCATATAACAAACAGCTTGAAGTATTATTGAAAATAATAAATTCTTTTAAGAGTGTCCAAGTTCCAACACTCCAGCTGTCGATTTGAGACGGAAGATTAAAAACTTTAGTTTGTTCTTCCTTCATTTGTCTTGCGAAAGTTGAAGTTGTGATCCTCCAGCAAGTACTCTCAAAAATACAAGCTGTGTGGTACGATGGCTTCATATTCAATCATCTGAACTCCACCTAGATTTGGACTCCACTCACAACAGAGACAAATACAGTTCCCAGTTGCCAGGAAATGGGGTGTTTGTCCCCTGCCGTGGTGTTCCACAGGCCCATCCCTGGCAGCCATTGCCACGCCGGTGTGGAATGCACATCTTCAGCTCTAATTGACTAGAAAGAGCACAACCTTGTATCATGAGGTCAAAGTGCAACGCCTGCATAGTTCCTGCCGTCGCCCAAACAAACAACTCTCAACTTTCCGAGCATCCAGAGGGTTTGAAATGAGGGCAGGTCACCCCAGGGTGGCTTCCAGCTCTGGAAGAACGCAGATAATGCTGCCACGTGAGCACAAACCGAGTCTCAATCTAGTGTCGCCATCGCACCTCATCGCAGGCGCAGATAAAAAGAAGCTCGCTGTACAGTGATGCATATTTCCTTTTAATCAGAGCTAACGTGTAGCACAGCCTTCACAGTGCACTCCCACCTCGCTGTGGTTCTCAGGGGGGGACAGGGGAGATCAAAGCAACACCCCCAAACACACACACACACACCTCGCTTGTACATGATCAGGAGAGCTGGGGGCTGCTCTCCTTCTTTATCTCCGTCTTTGAGCAACACCCCCCTTCAAGACAGCTTTGGAAGTGTTGGGACCGAGCGAGAAAGCACGAGGGATTAATAGTGAAGCGCTCTAATTTGTACCTGTTCGGGTTTTGTTGTCTCTTTCACGGTTGACCCTGATTTCGCGGAGCTGGCAGGAATGAAACAAGAGCGTCAAACAACACGCAGGGACACTTGGAATAACAGAAGTGGAGTCACATGGAGGGACACCAGGGGAGAGATTTATGGAACAGTAAAAATGTGACCCACACTGACCACAGATGTTTTTGTGAACCACTTAGGTGGGGTGAAACCTGAGTCCTGCTCTCACTCTCGAGCTAATTGAAGGCCCCCTCATTCACCTTCTGATGCCATTTTTTCTTAATGCACTAACAGCCGTGACGCTTTGGACCGCATGCGGACTTTGACAGCGATACATGCGCACTTTCATCAAAAGTAATTCAACTCTACCCAGTGACAGAACCCGGGCATACAAATCGGTTGCCCCACATCTCTGGGTGCCTCCCTACAGATGTCTGTCAATGAATCTGGAGACCTGGATCCGCCCTTCTCTTCTTCTGCTGCCTCTGGGTTTCAGGTTTCAACGCAGCGTCCCGGCTCTCCTCAGCCTCCCAGATTAGTCATCTAATGAACAGCAGTGCTGATCAGGTAAATAATTGATGGCGGGGCGGCTTGGAGAAAGCCATCGATCCGAGCGGGGGTGCAGCTCTAAATGGAGCAGAGAAAGAAGCAACTGGGGAGGACAAGAAGCTGTAGACTTTTCACTGTAATGCTGTTTGCTCTATTGGCCAGATGGGATTCAGATTCCAGGATCCAAGAAGCCATCCCTGACTAAAGAGCTTTACCAATCAAAATCAAAACTGTCGCATAGAATAGTCGAAAACTGTGAACGCAAGACCTTCAGAAATTTGAATCTAAGAGGTTGACAGTCAGGTTTCATTTTTCCTTCCACTTCACAATTATGTACGATTTTTGGTCTGTGTCCACTTGTATGTACTCAGTGCTGCTTGACTCAGCTCTGCATGGTTCAAAGGGTTTTCCACTAGTAATGGTTACTTGGTACCAGTCCCTCTTTCAGAACCTACTTTGCTGGAATTCTAAGTGTGTGGAGTTAGACTGAAAATCTGATGTTAAAAGACTATCGGTCACTGATTGGCAAGAGGGTGAAGTCATTGGTTGCGTCACAACAGCAACTCCCTCCTGACTGGTATTTGTAAAAACTAACCATCGCAAAAGACGACCCCACTCACTAGAGCTGTCACTCAATCGTAACTCCTTTTTTAGATCTTACTTTTCTGGAGTTCCAAGTGTATGGAGTCGGGGATAAACTGCTACGTCAGAAGACTGTCGGTCACTGATTAGCTAGGGGTTGGATTCATTGGTTCCATCACAAGAGCAACTTCCCTTACAATGGTGGTCTCAAACTTCAAGGGCTTCAGTCCTGCAAGTTTTAGATTTCTCTTGTCCTACACATTTGAATTCAACAGCTAAATTGCCTCACTAGCATGCAATCAAGTTCTACAAAGCTCTGCTAATGAGCTAATTTTGGAGGCAAGTGAGCTGAAGCAGAGAGACATCTAAAAGTTGCAGGACACCGGCCCTCAAGGCATGTGGTTTGAGATCTCTGCTTGCAATAATCTAATTTGCAGCATTTTTTATTTTTCTTCCATGTAATTTTTAGTACAGCTTACATTCTCAATTGTTGCATAGTGTTTGTGTAACGTACCGACTACATCATACATCTATCTGAACTCTGGGGCCACCTGACTGTATGATGACCCCACCCATTAGAGCCGTTGTTCAGTGGCAATGAAGAGCCTCCCAAACTGTATAGTTGAGCTGAGCTGGGCTGCGCTGATGAGTGCTAGTGGAAAAAATCTTTGTATTTATGTGCTTGTGGTTCTAAAAGTTGAGGTCTTTGTAGGTCATCCTTTAAAGTTAACCATGATTCATAAAGATATCCACTTTCATAGTGAACTTTCCACTTCACACCTACATGCTACGTCCCTGGACAACCTGACAGCCTGGTCTTAATGCGCCCAGTCACATGGGATTTTGAAAACTATACCTCACTGTAGCACCTAAACATTCCTCGTCAATGACTGAAAGCTTCGACAGATGTAAACATTTGACATTGCTTTGATTTCTACACAACCGGAACATCAGATCCGCTTTGTTTGCAGGTCACTCAACTCAATAAATGGGGCAGTTTATTCTCACACGGAGCTGATGGAATGTCTGTCGGTGACATTGCTCGAAGTGAGACCTCCTTTTTCCATGATGCTTCACTGGGAAATCCGCTACAGGGTTGCTGCTCGTTGCCTTTTGGTCCAGATGGTCAAGAGCTCCCAGCGTTCCGCGGGCTGGGCGCCGTCCGCCCCAGGGGGAGGCCTGCCATCTGCTCCTGTCCTCTCCTCTCTACTCGTATAACTCACCGTCTCAAGTTCCGGAAGTGCTGTGCATAAAGCCTCGTATCTGTCGGATTACCTTCCATGCTCCTCTATGGCTGATTAATACCTACAGTGGGTTGTCTCTCCTGTCTCAAGCTTTTTCCCGCTAATCGTTGCCTCGTCTTCATTCCTCAGTCTCATAGCAGCTACTATGTCTGCCTTTGTGTGTGTGTGTGTGTCCAATAGTATCCAATAGAATTCAAACAAGACAGAGAGCATCTTTCTGTAGTCATTTTAGCTCCAGGGAAAGTGGTGAAACGACCGGATGCTCATCCCACTCTTTGCCTTTGGGGAGCTGCGTCTGCCTGAGCCGTAACCTACATTTACTGATCACTCTTACACGTAAGGTTAAACGAATCAGACCTGCTGGAGGATGAACAGATCCTTCAAACACACACACGCACACACACACACTCAAAGAAGGAGGTTTCTGTTTGCTGTAGCGCAAGAAAAGCTAACAAGGTCAGCAAGTGAGCAGGCATCTGAATGTGTAATTAATTTATTTAGTCTGGCTCCAAGGAGCCATGGGCGGGGTCTAATAAGAGGAGGGGAGCTGTTCTGTGGAGAACAGAACAAGGGAAGGAAAACTGAGATTCGTCTTCAGGAGGCCCAACATTTCCCCTTTTGTTTCTTTTCTCCAACAACCAGAATTAAAAGAGGCCAATGGAGAAGTATCCACCATGGTTCTGACAGCTCACCAGCTCATGAATGTGAGACGTGATGCTGTGGACGGTCGATTGGCCAGACGAAAGCAGGCGGGTCTTGATGTGATGCGTCTTATTTCTTTAAGGAGAATCAGACCACAGAATGGGTTCAGTTTTTTAAAAGTGAAACACGAAGAAATACTCTCCCCACCTCTGCTCCTCTGTCCCTCCTCCCCACCCCGCGACAGTGACTCTAGCTGGGATCCACTCACCATCTCCCCCTTGGGGAAGACCGCCATCCGACTCGGGTCGTCAGAATCAATTATCCTCATCCCCCTTTTTTCTCCTCGCCAGCGTTTACATGACTCACATTTTTCAGACCCGTTATTTTTCTCCTTCCTTCTTTCCTTACCTTGTGTCTTCACAGCAGACCCTCCCCCCCTCGCCCCACTCCACGCCGCACCGATCCAATGCTTATCCCATGCTTAGGGGCTGAAAACAGCACTAGGTGATAAATCTGTGGCGATGTTCTGTAGAAGAAAATGAAATGAAGGGAAAGAGAAAGGAGGCCTGGAGGCTCAGCAGTACAGACTGCTCAGCACAGCAGAAATTTTTAGAAGAATAGCCTATCCTGGAAGGATGGAAATGGAGCAAGGGTGTAACCATACTTCAACTGAAGGGTTGAAATCAGCTCTCATTGGCGTAGTTGTGCAAACAAAATTGCATCATTTTGTACACAAGGAGGCGTCTTCCTCCACTTCTCGACACCGGATCCAGTTTGGGCTGTGTTGTGTGATTGGCCAGAGGTTTTTGCTGCAATATTGATGTTTTGCTTGAACTAGTCCGCTTCCACTATCTGTTTTTTGTATTTGTCTTATACCAGCATTTCTTCAGCTATATTAGTAAAATGATATGAAAATTTAAATGCATTCATTAAAGGTAGCAGTAGGAAGCCAAAGTTTACATCAAGGTTTAGTTGTTAACATGTATCCAAGGAAAACCAGCAGATTGCAACAAATCATTGACTTGCAGCATTCTCTCCTCCTGGATGAGTCTGTAGCAACAGAAGATGATCACTTGCGTTGTCATTGATTTAAAGCAAACCTTCACACTGAGCATGCATGTAGCGACAGTGAAGAGGAAAAAGTCTTAACAGGAAGAAACCTCCAGCAGAACCAGAACCAGAACCAGAACCTGGTTCAGTATGAGCAGACATCTGCCACGACCAACTGGAGGTTTGAGAAGACAGAGCACAATGCGCCAGAAGAAACAGAACTGGTGTAGTTATATACAGTATGTTAGTGAAAAGTAAATATTTTTTAACGTGTCCGGCAGTGTGGCACCCTGAATTATTGTCTGAATTCTGAAAAGTAGAAAATTATCAGGAGAGGAAGAGACGGAGACGGAGGTTTTAGACAGACCAGAGTTCACTTTTTTTTCTGCATCAGAGTTCGTTGCGCATTCACACCTCCCCAAATGAATGGGACTTTCTAGGCAAACAAACCAGAGTTTGATTAAAGTGCATTAAACAGGACTGGTCTGCATACACCCTTAAAGTCAGCAGCAGTTTCTCACGGAGTGTCTTGAAGCTGGAGGCTGTCAGCACACCCCTTTGAGCCAGACCTGTAAAAAATAAGCTCTAGTATTAAAACAAAGCAGATTCACATTGGGTCTGCCATGTTCAGTTGTTAAAGTAAAAGCCCAGGTATCATCCTCAGATGAAAACAACAGATCTGTGACCAGGGGGCGGATATGTGTCCATGAGGATAATCAATACCATGCTCTGCCACGAGAGCAGAGTGAAAGAGACGTGCTGTATTTCTTCATATTTAATGGCTGACTGACTTTAATAGCTCACACACTCCATGTGCAGGGCGGAGAAAGAGAGCTTCAGCACCAACTGGCATCCAAAGTCACCTTAAGAAACCCTTTCTGAGGCAGACCCGGAGTGTTTACCTGCCCCGATGAGTAACATAAAACACAAACAATGCTCGGTGTAATTGGCACTGATGTGCTTTAAAAGCCCTCCTCCTCCGCAAACACCTGCAACCCATGAAGCCCCCGCGACCCCCTGGGAAATCACACATTAGCATTTAGCTTTTTCATCTGCTGCACTAATCAGAGCCAAACGTTTCAATAATACAACACAGGAGCGGTTACGCAACCCGAAGAAAAGGGCCTGAGAAGGGGGGAGAAGGAACAGTCGGTACGGAGGTGTTTCCAGGGGGTTGCGCAGCGTTTTGGCGCCCGGGCTTAATGCTCAGATGGATCTGGGTGGGGTTGAGGGCGAGCCAGTGACCTTAGCTGGTCTCCGGCTTGTTTTACATGCAATAACAGCATGTTGAAATCTTTCTGATTTACCAACACACTTGTGCCTTTCCAAGAGCAGCTGCAGAGAGTTAGCAGCTTCTAAACAATCTGGGATAAACAGAGGCGGAGGTGAGTCAGCGAGGCGGTGCAGTCGAGGTTTAGGGCTCAGTGTTAACACCGTGACCTCACAGATCAGGACAACACAAAGGAGGTTAACTGCCTCCAACTCTTAATTATACCCACTGAGTTGTTGGTCGCAGTTTTTATGCAAGCACAATAACTTCCAGGTGAAATATCTGTTCGCACAAAGATATTCTTCACAAGTCCAAGAAAAGTCTTTGAGAGGCAAGTCTGTGTCTATTGACTGAAATATGAATGTAATAACTGCTGTATGTTTGGAATCACATGACTCAGTTAAAACTAGGAGCATTGAAAACATATAAGGAGCATATTTACCCCATTAGGAATATAAAATTGCATTTGTCTCCATAGACAAATGATGTGGATTTCTCAGTGAATCAACAAATATTAACTTTTATTATGTATAATGATGTAAGAAAGTTTCTACTGCCTCAATTAAATATGTAAAAACATGAATTTGTTGTTATGCTGTTGATTTTGACATACAACACATACAGCAGATACTAATACAGGTATAATTTTACCTAACAGGGAAAAAATCTATGTTTCCACAAGACCGCTGTCTGGAAACTGCTGCTATTTTTAGATATCGATTGGAGAAAAGTTCCACACCTATAAGAGACTGCCAAGATACCTTGGATCTGCTGCAGTTGTCATGCCAGAGCACTAGATGGCACTGTGTTGTTCGCATGTCATCGAAACACACATGGGTTTTTAGCCTTAACCTCCATCTAATTTCTATGATAACCCAAGTGCTCATGTAACATGTTCATATTCCAGAGGATGTGTTCAATACAATGAATGCACCTGATTTGTGCCTGATTTTTTTTTTTTTTTTTTTTACTGTTATCTGCATGTGTTCGCCTTCCCGCCTATGTAGTACTTCAGAGCAAAAAGTTCCACTCTGAGACAGACCTGGTTTCAAATGGTACCAGTGTCAGAGACTCCGATCAATGGTGACATGTACAGCTTCACTGAGAACCAACTCCATGAATCCTTCCAATAAAATCTGCGATGGACTTCTACTGGATTGCCCATCAGAAGTCCATCAGCGGCCAGTGATGTGTGTTTTTAAAAAATGTGCCTCTTTTGTATTTTAATATAGACCCACACGCGACCCTTCACAACCACTTTGCAACTAGTGAAAGTCAAGCAATCTCTTCCAGCTTGATTCATGTAGAGTGTTAAAGGCAAGAAAAATCACGTTGTACCCGTCGTCCCAGTCGGGTTTCAGCTGACTGCTCACACACAATCTCGCCACTCAACCTTTCATAAATTGACCGTTCTGGGACTGTCACTACCTCACATGGTGTAACACTGGATGGTTAACTTTAGGTGGCTGAGACCTGGTTTGAATTGTTTTATGAAAGAAGCGTTGAATGGAAACAGGACCATGATCCTTGTCCCGTTGATATTATCAATGCGCTCAACAGGGCTCATCCTCTGGAATGTGTGGGTCGTTTCTGAAAATTTCACACACATTTTATTCAAATTTATTCTTCATTTACACTCCAGGACTACACTTTACTCTGGAGGCACCTCAAGAACATTTCATCAGCACCATCAGTTCTCCGTCTATAGACGCCAACCTGCTCCTGCACTCTCTGCTCCCTTCCTGGAGCTTGGCAGCTCTTGATCAGCCTCTCTGGCCCGCAGCGAGCAGGAAATGACCTATTGTTCTGAGATAATGTGAAATATAATGTTCCCCTGCACTCTTGGAGAAGGCATCCTGCCCTGGCAGCCTCATCGCTGTGGGCAACGGTAGGCGCCAAATATACGAGCACCTGCCAAACAGAGACGTCCATCAGCGGCTGGTTTACAGTGCCGAGATGAGAGGGGAAATCCCCCGGAGACTTGAGGGAAAACAAGCAACCTCTCACTCAGCCGTTTCACGAAAACTCACCTCCGCCCACTCAACACAACCGGGGAGATGTTCTCTTCGAAAGCACATGCGGAAAAGGCACCTCCGAGTTCATCCGAGGCCGCGAAGTTAGAGAGGTGAACGTGAAACAATAAAAGAAAACCTTCTTCGTCGTTCCCGCCGGAAGGAGCCACGGCCAAAACACCTACCTCTCCGCCCGGCGCATTCAGTCTCCTAAAATCAGTTCGTCAATCAAGAAAAGTAAAACTACGACAAGCAAGAATCCTGATCTGTAACCATTTCCACGCGAGCGGCGTTAATGAGCGGCCTGGCAGCGCGGCTCGACGTGACGAGGACCTCCATTTAGTCAGAGGCTGGAAGCCCTCATTGATCGCTGCGGTTCGCCGTGGAAACAGCGAGAGTGTGTTTATTTGAGTGCGTCGGCAGCCAAAAACTCATAAATATCCTTGGCAACGGAGCAAATGAGCAAATCAGTTTTTGCAAGAGAAGAACAGCGAAAGAGCGGGACGACCCAGGCGGCGTAATGGAAACGGTAGGAAGGTTTCCACCAGCACAAGTACCGCTAACTCATTCTGCTCCTCTTGAGGATAAAGTGTGAAAATGGAAGTTATTTTTTGTCTCTCTTCCCCCCCTAAACTTTTAACAGCATGTCCTCTAAAGGATGCTCTAATTATGGTGCTTGTATTTTAAAATCCGGATGGAATAACAATTCCATAAAGTTTGTTTAGGACCAAACTTTCACAGCTGTCTCGGCCTGAACGCTAAACTGCTTCTGCTTCACTGGAAGATTGCGCTACACCTTTTTTTTTCTTCTTCTTTTTTTTAACCCCCTCCAAGTCTATTCAGCTGTTGTCTCAGATAACGGGCTCTCGGAAAGCACAAAGAATAGCTCCCACAACTTAAACATGCTCCAAAAGGATCCTGGGTGAGGTGAATTATGTGGAGGGCGGTGTATTCAGGTAATAAAAGGGTGTAAATCTGTCAGATTAGTGACAAAAAACGAGTGTGTGGGATTAAGGTAAAGCATGGATGTGGTTCCTTTTGCTTTATTACTCATCTTACATTCAGAGGATCCTTTTTGGAGGAGGTACGCACCTAAATGGATTAAAGTCACAATTCGCTCTTTGCACAAAACAGACATTTAGGCATATATCCTCTCCTCTGTATCTTTGTGAGTGTGTGCTTTGATGTCGAACCAGCCGCCCACTGTGACTTTCTTCCAGCTGCTGAATTGTCTGTTCAGTGCAGCTTAGCTCCAAACATTTGGAGGTGCCTAACACTGCCATCTATTGTTCTTCTCTTTAAAGCTCCTGGGCTGCGCTGCATGGTTGGAAGTGTATTGTTTCACAGATTAAAAAGGAGCCTGCCTGTGGAGATTCTCAGCACACGGTGGAAGTTTTGTCAAAAGTGCTTTTGGCTACGCTTCACCTTACCTGGGTTTAGCACTTTTT